TCCAATCACCACCGCATTGATCATAATTATAATTTTAAGTGGGATAAAATTGAAATTTTGGACATTGAATTCTTTTACAACAAAGCAGAAACATGGGATTAATAAGAAAAATGATACGGAATCTCTGCCGGAAACATATTTTAACATCATACATTCCTTTTCCCCTTCCTAATATTTCTCTCCTTCCTTCTTCCACATATTACTGTCTCCGCATTTATTTATCTCCTTTTTAACTCATAACGTTGTCAGACACTGTCGATGCTACAAGTTTCTCTGCTCTAAATGCAGCACAATAGCTTATAAAATTTTTGTATCCATTGCATTACTCTTTTAATTTTTGACAAACAGTTTGACTGAAGAAGGCATTTATAGTTTTGTATTTTAATATGTATTGATTTATTGACTTATTCATTTTTAATCTGTAATTGATATTAATGTTAACATAACTCTAACGGTTTTTCTATGTATTATACGTTTTTTAAAAAATTTGTTCTTCTGTTTGTCTACCTTTAATTATTATTAATGTGATTTCTTTTATATACTGTAATTATTTATTAATTGTATACATAATAAAATTGGATAATTAATTTAGATAATTAATTAAAATAAAGTAATTAAAAAAAACGAAAAATAATATAAATATATGTTTCATATTTTTATAGATTTATTCAAGAAAAATTAAACACTGAATTTTGCTGAAATACTATAAACTTTAAAGATAATGTTTAAAGATGCATGAAAAAAATGAAAAGTAAGTAATGTAAAATATGTAATATTTTTACGAATTTATTACTTGTACACTGAAATATGGTGAAATACTATAAATTTTAAGAAAAATTAATAAAAATATTTGAAGAATAATGACAACGAAAAATATATATTATTTTTATAGATTTATTAATGAAAGTTATCAAAAAAGAAACAATAGGATTAAAATAATGGAATTAATAATAGACAAAAAAAAATACTAAAGTTTATTCAAACTTGCGAAAAAATATGGAAATCAGTTTGCATTCTAACAAAAAGTGTTGAATTCATAAAAATTTCTTTCCAGAATTGCTACTAAATGATGTCGTTTCTCGTATATAAAATTTCAAGCTTTCTATAGATGTTTATAACCGAAACTCAGATATATCATTATTTACATTTGTACAAGATACATACATTTTTGTATTTAGTTCGAGACATGATTATATTTTTGTATCAACAAAGCTAATAAATAATAATATTTTACGAAATATTTCAATCTTACAGAATAATAGAATTATCCAAAGGATTACGAATTTGAATGTCCAATAGATGTATGTAGGTTATAATGAGGCACTCATTTTACAGCCCACAAGATGTCCTGTAAGTAATCTCTGGATCACATAAACAGGAATTCCCCCGATATGAATAACTTCTCATTAAATTCATTGCGTTCATTGATTTTTATTTTAAAATTTATTGAATTCTTTATAATCTTAATGTTTTATATTGATTTATTAAAAAATATTATTGAAATCTTAATGTACTATACTGAATAATATTGATAGTAGGTGATACTGAAAGTAGGTCAATTGATATAGATTTTAATATGCAATAAGAATAATACTTTATTATTCTTTACAATTTCAATAAAAAATTTCTATCAGAGTAAATGCAGAAAAATATACTACAGCTGGTATCAAAAATATGAATTAAAAGTTCTTATTTGCTTTTCAGGCTTTCATGGATATTATCTTCTAACTTATTCGATTTCATTATTCATAATTAATTTATCATGCAATTACAGTCACAAATATCAAATACTTTATTTTCAATATACGTTAAAGATACGTTAAAATATATGTTACGCGTGAAGGTTTAAAGGATTTGAAGAAATAAATAGAAATAAACGGTTAAAAAAGTCCCCGAAAGACAACATGCTATAATCTACCGACGAATTGTCCGAGAATCTCGAGGCTGTCAAATAATTCTACACAGACAACTCCATCTGCCTAAGCGTCAAGATTTATGCATCTAATATGACCTGTATTAATTCATAAATCTAGACGATATTACCATCTGCGAAACTCGTGATTCATAAATCTCGGGATTTATACACGCATTCTGAACGCTTAGATATTTTGTGCGTGCATAACTGTCTTTGGAAACGTAATATCATCAGAGGCAAATAACAAAATTCTAACCTAGCTAAGTTGAGCGTAACTAGAAGAAATTCGTGGTTCTTTATCTTACATCGAGAATATAAATTCACTTTAGGAAGCAAAAAATATTTTAATACGAAAATATTATAATAATATTCTTTTGATACTAAAAGCGATGATAGATTTACAGCAATTTAATTCTCGAATTACGGATAATTAAATAAAAAATGTACGTTTTTTTCTTTTAGAGAAGATTAAACGCAAATCTATTTTAAAAACATATTAAAAAATCTAGATTTATCATGTAATTTTAAATAACAGATTTTGACGTATATTTTTTATAAAATTAAAATTTTCATTTTATAAACCAAAACAAAACAAAAAAAATGCCTTGTTAACTTACGAATTCGTGAATATCTATATTTCTGATAAATATTTATTCATAATCTTATATAAATATTCGAAAAATAAATATTCGAATTATTGAAATAATTATTCCATTCTTATCTTATCATGCGCGCGGAATTCGAATAGTTTAAAAATGATGAAAAGTCTTTCGAGAAATAGTATACAGTAAGTACACAACAAAATAATTCTGATCGACGGGAATAAGATTACAAAGTCTTCCATCACATTTGAAAAAAACCTTTATTTTTTATTTTTTTTCTCGTTATTTTTCAATTCTAAAAACTATTAGAAAACTATTATGCGTTGCTATTAGAAATATGAATCGAAATTGCATAAATGTAATTTCATAATACATCTACAATTGAAATCATACTAAAAATTAATAATAATTGTTGGAAAGAAGAACAAACAACAAAAATATGAAAAACTTTTGATAACGATATATTCATGAGAATTTAGGACATGATATTTAAAACACATACACGCAATAAGTTATTAGTGCGCAAGTATGGAAGATCCGATCGATACATCCGATCAATCAGAAAATTTTTTCTAATATCCTAAATAATTTAATTTTATTGAAATTAATCACCTATTTGTATAATTTTCTTCATTATCTAAGATATTATAAGATAATGTTTAATAATAAGTAATAATAAACAGGTCAATTAAGCGAAGTAATCAACTTTGATTGCACTTTGTTTAGAATATATAGAAATGCGTATCGGAGCGGTACAATCACGCTGAATTATCTGAATTACCAGCGCGAGACTTTATCGGGCGCTAGCACGAGCACGCCAAACACAGTAGATCGATATCGTGCAGCTTGTACAATTTAATATGTAAACGAATGATGCGCGTTTGATTTCGTGCCGGTGATCGCAACTTCACAAAATTCCTATTCAGTGAGCAGTCGATTTTTGCATTTTTCGCTTCACACAAGAATCCACAGTGACGATCTCCGTCCGATCTCCGGGGGAGAAGAAAGAGGAGGAGAACGTTGTTGCTAGAGGAGGAGGAGGTGGTGATGGCGGTGAAGGAGGAGGCACACGGGTTCGCTTTTGCCTGAGCGTACCCGTTCGTTCACCCTAGCGGGGGCACCAACCTGGCTTTACTTCAGTTACACGCCGGGAGAGCTGGCACATTGTGTATATGTATATACATGCATATATATATATATATATATATATATATATATATATATATGTATATATAAAAATGTGCACACATATAAACTAGATGTATATAAAAGTATATACGTATAAGACATGTGCACAGATACATATGTCCGGATGTTCGTACCAGAAAAGATCGGAATATAAAAATATGGAAAAGATTGAGTAACAAAAGCGTCCATATGATTTCTTCCGAATAATAATTTTTATTGTACCGTAACAGCATTTAAAATTTGGCCAAACATTTGTATTTGGACAATCTGTCGTCATCCGTTTTCAGAATCGCTGACACCATGACACTGTTTTTTTTTCTAGCGTGAACGAGGAGGTAATTAACATCATTGTACGACTGTTTAACCATTGCTTACGATTAAGCGTAGCTAAAGTCTGTGTGTGGGAAAGAAGATTACTACCGGGATTGAAAAGTCACGACCGTGCAATACTCGATTTTTTTTCATTCTCTCGCTGTAGAGTCTTTAAGCGCATATTTTGGGACACCTTGTATAAAGACATATAATACATTCTTGGGTGTACTTACACCTAGTATAGATGGGTACACGGAGAGTGTCCCGGTCGAATACGACGCGATTCCACGGCCCTTTGCGAAAGAGTGAGAAAGAAAGCGAGCGAGGCAGTACCGACTTCACCGGCCTGTTCCAGAGAGAGAGAGAGGGAGAGAGAGAGAGAGAGAGAAGGGATCGTGAAGGTAAGGAAAAAGGACGGATGCTTTTGTTCGACCGCTCAGGACGAAGCGCGAGTCGCTCTTCTCTTGGAAAGAGGCTCTCGACGCTAGGAATGAAGACATTACTGTCCGCAAGTAATACTCCGTCGACTGTTTCCAGCCTGAAAGAGCGGAGGCTTCGGTCCGCGAAGAAGCGCCCGTGACGCCTTGCGCCGTCAAATTCGCTGATCGTGCAATTTCCATCGTCATGATGGAATTTGCACCGCTTAGAGACGACATCGGCTTACGGCTGCCACCAGTCGGGTTCTTGACCTAAACTCAAGTGCGAACGAGAAAATGGCAAAATTTCAATTTCGAAATGCTGCTCGTCCAATAATGGTTGCAAATCTGCATTTTCCAGCTTTTGTCGTTAATATTGAAATCATCACTTTTAAATCGGCAGAATCAATATTCACACGTTTTAATTGACGGAGCAACATCATCATAAGTTTCTATCAGAATTCTATGATCTTCAGCTGCCGTCTGATTAAAAAAATTAAGTTTGAAAAAAGCACGGCGACTTTTTGTTGTCGTAAAAAAAAAGAAAGAAAATGAAAGTTAGGAATAGAAAACCGATATAGACCTTTATTCGTTTAGAATGTTTACATCATTAATACCATCAAGCTATAGAATTATAAATAATTCGCATTAAAATTATATTAGTCACAAAACTTAATTAACTTAATTTATTTTAATAAAATATGTTACTTCACTAGAAATAATTATACGAGACTCGCGATCACAGATATGTACAACCGAATCAATATAAAAAAATTAAGAATAACGAGTTAAATTCGATGCGTTGACCATCCGGATGGATACGGGAGCGGTCACTGTGTCCGTCGGACTAGACCTCTGCGGATGATGGGAATAACTGACTTCCATGTCGATCTCGTCGAGCTCCTCCTCCTCTTCCTCGTGGGTGTCCGACTCGTCTTCCTCTTCACCCTCACCCTCCTCCTCCTCCTCTTCCTCTTCCTCTCCCTCCGATCCTCTGAACTAGATTTTTCATGCGCAAGAGAATATATTAGGTATATATTAGAATTTAGAATACATTATGTATCATTAATCCGATTTGAGTTCTGATTTAAGCATTTTCGAATGTCGAACATATCAAATCTATCCATATCAATATCTATATAGATATTCATGAATCACGTTAAACTATAATTACATTAGCAATTGTCGGTTAAAATGCGATTGTAATTAGCGATTAGTTTTCAACCAACCAGAGCAAAACAGTCACCGATTACTTTGCTCTAATTGAAAAATAATCGCCAATCACAATCACAATTGCAATCCAATCAGCAATCGCTAGTATGATTATAGTATTAAGGTTGTGCCTAATAGTTAAGTACTTAATATAAAATTGAAAAAATAAATAATAAGTTATTAGGAATGAGATTTAGCTTTGAGGATTTTTTTTCTAAAAAAATTGATTTATTTAAACAATATCGTACATAAACGTTTAATAATTGTTATACGATCAACATTTAATTCTCTGGCAAGTTCTGAAGTGGATTGTGTTGAATCTTCGTCCAATAATGCTTGCAAATCTGCATTTTCCAACTTTTGTCATTAACATTAAAATCATCACTTTTAAATCGACAGAATCAATATTCACACGTTTTAATTGACGGAGCAACATCATCATAAGTTTCTATCAGAATTCTATGATCTTCAGCTGCTGTCTGATTAAAAAACAAGAGCAATGCATACCAAAAATGCTCTTTAGGAACTTCCATTTTTTAAATGGCATAAACGGCAATGTTTACTATGTCTATTGTTAGACATAGTAAACGATTAAATGGAATAATATTAAAGAAATAAAAAATAATAGCTGTAATTGGAATATCTTCAACAATACTGATATCAATGCCATCTCTTGCAAAATCCTCAAAATTAAAACAATCACATTCCTAATATATCAATATAATTAATAAAATATTAATAAAATATATAAATAATTAATATAATATTAATAAAACATATAAATAATTAATAAACTATATAAAATGTTATATACATAATAGAAGAAAAATTTGGGTAGTCCCGGACGCCGGGTCTCTGGACACTCGAATTTCTTAATAATTGATCGAAAAACAAAAACGAAGCGAAATTTCATGTCGAAACGTGTCTATCAAACTTCTCCTATACCGATAAATAAAAATAAGAAATGTTTAAACAGTCATTTGTGCAGGAATATTTAAATGCGATGAATTCAATCTAAAAATGTGTATGAATAATTAGAACATTAATGATACCGAATGTGTTTTTGCAATCTTCGCAATTTTGTTACTATAAGTTGGGATTAAAATATTTTTAATTTAATTATTATATAGCAGATTATGTGTGTATATATACAGTATTTAATGTAGAAGTGATACCAATGATAGTGTCGTCCTACTTCCAACCGATGGTAAAGAAAATGAATACAACGACATAACAACTACGTTAAAGTTGAACGATGGCGCAATTTGTCAAAATATACGATTTTGTTATTTGAACTATTCAAATATACTTCATTTTTTCATCTATTTTATTTATATAATCTTTTATTCGTTCAAAATTTCGAAGAAAAAAAATTATTTGTTTCTTTTTTGTTTAAAATTTGAATTTTAAACAAAAGAGGTTATTTCTGCAAGATAACAAACATCTCCAGAATGTGCAAGATAATTTAAGTGATTTTTATGAATAATAATCAAGATAACTTATTCATAAAAAAAATTTAGGAATCAATTTGTATTTTATTTATTGCAATATTTCGATTTTTTTCTCTGCTGTTTATTTACTAAACAAATGATATTACGTATTATACTACTGTATTATGTAAAGATTATTAAAATTAAATAGAAAAGAAAAAAAGAAGGGTGAATAAAGTCGTTAATTTTTGTCTCCAACCGAGAAGTGTATATTTTTTAATTATTTTTTGGCAGCAGAATTACGCAGAGCAATCAGTTTTTCATAAACATGAAGAGATTTATAATATAAAAATGTGAATAAAGTGAATAAGCATAAGGTTTTTGCTATAAAAATGAGATAAATACTGATTGTTTTTAATGTTTAAACTCTCAAAACCATCAAATATATGACATTTTGTTGTAATAGAATTTTAATAGAGAAGAAAACAAACATATGAAAACTCGAAGGATGTAAGACGAGAATCAGATACACGCGTTTTGCATGTTATCTTCCCGCCTTTTTAATTAAACTCCAGGCTCTTAGAATTTATCCGACTTCTAAACTTCAGACGCTCATAAATCTTAGACTGAAAACCAAGAGATTTCAATCTTATATATCGATGTCAATTCCATCGTCGACATCAGCATTATCCGATGTGCACTGCGGAGAGGTTGCATGATGCACATCGGATTTTGTACATCATTTGGTCTTTAAAAACCGATTCTATAATTCATATTTCAAGAGCCAATCATTTGTGTGCTCTATGAATGAAATTGACATCAAAGGTCAATTATAATCGCATTTAAATTAAAAATTAAATTGTCATTAATGGACTGGGATTTATATGTCTACAGTTCAAGCATATGAAATTGAAGTATCTGGGTTTTTAGTTTAAGATTTATGTGTCAGAAATTTAGAAGACCATGGATAAGCGTGATAATCTAAGAGTCTAGAGTTTAAGAAAGCAGAAAAATGACATACTGATCCTCGTTTTACATCTTTCGAGTTTTCGTATGTTTATTTCCTTCTCTATTTCAACTATATCATAACAAAACATATTTGATAATTTTTAAGAGTTTAAACATTAAAAATGATGATTATGTGTTTCATTTTTATGGCAAAAATTGTATGCTTATTTACTCACTTCATTTTTACACATGTTCCCTTCGCGTTTATGGAAAACTGCTTGCTTCCATGTAATTCTGCAGTCTAAAAATATATTTAAAAACATACACATTTCACCTCCCGGTTGGGGAATGAAATGCATGTTTTTTTTAGTTTGGCCTATTAACAAAGGATAACAGACAAAAATTTTGATGACACACACACACACACACACACACACACACACACACCCATTCACCCACACGCACGCATGCACGCACGCACACACGCACGCACGTGTGTGTGTATTCATCCTCCTTTTTTGCTACGATATATACTAATTTGTCTTCTATTATCATTAAGTATTATATTCACATTACTTGTATTTTTTGCATTCTTTTTTTCTCTCTATTCAATATCCAAAAATATATTTATCTTTTAAAATTTTGCAAATTTCGGGAATTTTTGACAATGCAAACAAACCTATTTTAAGGATCGAAACGACATACAAAAGTGAGTACATTCATGAGATGTTGACCAATGAAATTATAAATATTTAAATAAATTCACGTACTTTTGTAAAGTCTTGTATCCATGATGCTGAGAATCGGTTCGAGAGTTCAGTTCTAGCAAATCTGAGATAGAAAATGAATAACAAATCTAATTCGGACAATTTAATCACATAATCAATGTAACTGGTCAATTCTTTTTCATCTTGAATCAATTTCTATCATCGTGGAGATACACAAGACTTAATTTTCTACCTTATTACATAATCAATTCTCTGCTTAAAAATTACATGCTTTAAGTCAATATTCGACAACACTGTGCAATATTAAAAAAATTTTTTTTCATGATTCGTGACACATGGCAGGTAACTCTGATAGGTTTCTCCTATAAATTATAAATTTGTAATTGAAAATGTACATTAGATTTTTTTTAGACAAACTAGGTCAAAAAGTAAAAAAAATTTTTGACCATTTTTAAAATTGATTTTTAAAAAATGAAACATCATAGAAATTTAAGTTAGCTCAAATGAAAGTTCAAATCCTAAAACAAAGATAAATAAGTAACACATCAAACACATAATCACTAAGAAATACCTATATGGTCAAAGTGCATCTTGAGTGCTTTAAATAATTTCATGTGAATTTACATATTGCATTTGTAATTTATCGAATTATGTGCCGAATCGATAACATGATAAAATTTTTTTTGTAGCAGATTTTTTTAGGAATGCACACAAACTACAATATGTGTCTACTATATTATCATCCTAGAAATAAGAATTACATCCAGATAGCATATATATATGTCTTAGAAACATCAGAGAGACATTTCAAGACATGACATTTCAATTTTTATCGTGTCACTTATTTATCTTCATTTTACATTTCATTCTTTTTTAGAACTTCAAAGATAATTAAAAACATGTTTATCACTTTTTAACCTGGTTTTTCTTGATCAGATCAAAACCTGATAAAAACTACATTTTCAATTACAGATTTATTATGTAAGGAAAAAACCTACTAGAATCACTTGTCTCGTGTGATGAAATCCTTGTTGAACAGTGCAATCAATTGACTTTAACTTGACAATCGACTTCGACTTGATGAGATCAAGATACATTATACCGAATGATCAAAATGCTATATATGTGCATATTGAGAGACGAGAAATAAATAAATACACATGTCCTTGATAGTAAACAAAATGAAGGAATTAATAATAATACATCATCAAAACTATCGATAACAATTCCAAGTCGTGAAATACTTTTGAAAATACAAATACAAGACAAAATACTAGTCGATTAGATTAGGTTAGGTTAGGTTAACTTACATCACTCACAGTCTTCCCGATTGGAATGTGCTCGTAGCCCTGCACCCGCACGTGATCTCTCTGAAATAAACATAAAAAAATGTGGACCATGCGTTATAGTTAACTCGCGCTCAAGAATGTTTACACACTTACCCAGGCCTGATGCTCCGCTTCGAGAGCGGCGACCTCGCTCTCGTCATCGCATGGTTTATCGGCGTTGAACCACAACGGATCAGTCGCCCGTGGTCGCAGATCGGGCCATAGTGGCCTGATCGACATCACGAGCAATTTGAGGATGAGAGAAAAACCTTTCAACAGATCATCACTTCTGGTGTTTTCCAACAAGAACACAGTCAGACACAGTGTAACATAAACTACTTTCCTTTCAGGAGACAGTCGACACTTCTCTGGTTATTGGCTCCCGCCTTCCACCTTCCACCGCCTCCCGAAATAATGAGCGGAGTCTGAGGGTTGCCAGATACTTGACGTTGTCGCCGATAGAGGGCTCTCGTATCGCCCAAAATCGCCCAATTGAAACGCGCTTTCGAAAAAAAAGGAAAAAATAGGGGGAGAGAGAGAGAGAGAGAGAGAGAGAGAGAAAGAGAGAAACTCTGTACCATAAATTTCTGTATTTCTGATGAATAATGAATATTATACCGGCCTATATTTAAAAGTGTGTATAGGTATTTATTTCATTTGCGGAAAAACTACACAAACTTTAACAGTGTTTGCCAACGATGACTTTTCCAAAAATATAAAAATATGAGAACGCAAATACTGCTAAAGTTTGTGTAGTTTTTCAAAAAGGAAATGTATGTACTTACGCCTTGTATAACAATATGAACAGTAAGTTTGATATCTATAGTTTTCGCTTCTATAGTGGCTGTAGTTGCGTCTGAAACAATTGATCATTTTGATATTTATAATATATGTAATATAACATTACAATCCGAAGCGCCACTACGGTCTAAGTATTAAGATGTTGAACTAATATATATATTATTCAAACGAATGAATTAATTTCAGAAATAATAATTACGTGTCGATATGGTTGTCGACATTAACGCAATTAATCTGAAATGTAATAATCCCCCCAAAATTCCCCAAATTAATCTTAAAAAATTAATCTTAAAAAATTTTTCGCAATAAGTTTATTACAGTTTTTTAAGATTAATTTGGGGAATTTTGGGGGGATTATTACATTTCAGATTAATTGCGTTAATGTCGACAACCATATCGACACGTAATTATTATTTCTGAAATTAATTCATTCGTTTGAATAATATATATATTAGTTCAACATCTTAATACTTAGACCGTAGTGGCGCTTCGGATTGTAATGTTATTTATAAACGGTCTTGTTTCCTATCTTATTGTTTATAATATATGTATATATTAGGAGATAATAGCCGAAAAATTAGAGAATTTAAAAATAAATTTATTAATGAAATAACTTTACAAATTACAATTTTATTATTCTCAATTGAGAGAATACTTGTGAATAAGTACAATATTTATATTATACAAAATAAAAAATACTTACCATATTTTAATTTAGGCTGAACACGCACATTTAGATTATTCATTTTCGTTGAAGAGTTCGGTTGGCATGTTTTATAAAATCTGCATGTGTGCGCGTAAATTTATTTCACATACTTTACATCGAGTCTCTTTGTTATCGATTGTGTTTTTGTTCTCTTCTAGCCAATCTATAAGTCCATACTACAACTTTTATTATTTATTCATTTAAACCTTCGACGGCATTGTTAAATAGTTTAAGCCGTAATCACACCACAAATTGTTGATTACGATTGTTACGATTGCCGGTTTCATTTTAACAATAATGATGCAACAAGTGCAGATTAGCTGTAACGTGATTGGCGAAAACCGACAATCGGCAACCATAATCGGATTTAGGACGCGATAGAGAGCCTCCCGAAATACATCCGTTTTCTTAACATTTACAATCAAAATGTTGATCATGGTGTGTCGTTAAAGAGTTAATTTCAGATTTTGAGAGTTAATTTCAGAGCATTCACTAATTTGCATGTTTGAAATTAAATTTACAATTGACACTGTTACAAGAAAGCCCTTGAAATTAATAGATCTTGGCCAAAGGCCATTTGATTTCATAAATGTGCGAAAATTGATAGCATTTTTCCTTAAACAGCACTCTTTAGAGTCGCGGTTCGATTCAAGCTTAGAACGCTCATGAGCATCATTTGTCTATATTTAACATTTGATAAACAAGAATAAAATTATTTTTAAGCATGAACATGAATTGGACCACGACCTAGGTGTCAGTTCAATTCTAAAAATGTTGATAACTAATCTGTAAAAATGTTTTCTTTTTCCCATTCTTTGCGATAATGTTTTTTGTATTTTCTGTTTACCCATCTTCAAATTCGCGCGTTAATACCTCTCAGATCTTCGATTAAGCTAACCACAACAGTGTCACTACGCATAGTTTAGCGCCGAGACACTAGCAGTGTCTCTAGATCGAACTAACGGACAGATTGCGTTCCAATATTTAAAACTATTAGCTATTAGTAGTATAATAAACGTGCACTACTATTTTCAGCACTGGCATCAAGAGCCTTGCAGTAATACCAATAAAAATTCAATAACTGCGTTCAGCAACAATTGAAAATGAGCGCCCGCTGCGGCGCTACTTGCTATTGATATATTCTTCTAGATGTAAAAATCTTATTGGACGATATATAAAGGAGGTCTCGGCGCTGCTGTCACGGCGTCGCCTAAAAGTCGCCGGAGGGAAAAAGAAAATCGCTTAATTTGCGACATGTCGCTCTCGGCCATTTTTTGTCGTAAATTCTTATTCCAAGTCGTCTAAAAGGCGACATATCGCCTAATCTGGCAACCCTGCGGAGATCGATTTGGCCAGATCATGTCCTATATTATATTGGGTCATCTAAAAACCGCGGATACTTTTTAGATGACCCAATATATAGTACGAGATCCCACTGCAAATTTGTGCATCTATCGCGTATGCAGATGAAATGTAAAAAAAAATCGAAGTTCGTATTGAGGGCAATACTAAACCGCAAGAGTGTCTAAAAAAAAGTGACTAGGAATATCAATTACGTTTTTGATTAAAAAATTTTGAGAAAATGATCCATCGTGTATATTTATAAAAGGACTACTGTTGGAAAGAGGAGGATCTGTAGATTACGAAAATAGTAGGGTGTCATTTTATCACAATCCTCTGGCAGCCAGGTAAACGGTCGAAACAGAAGTTTCTCTCTAGTCGAACGTATATGATGAACACAAATTCGCACGCACACGTTCAATCATCAGTTACTGCGTCCTTGTTCATCGCCCGGAGCCGTGCTCAGCTCCTTCTATAGGTGCATTCAGTACGACCGCTATTGAGCGCTCAGTGAACTCTTGCATCTGATTGGCATATTCCGTTAGAACTAAAAATATAGATTAAACAGACATTCTGAATGCATCCTATCTTGAACTCGCTTTTGCCGATCGGAGCGGTTTTTTTAAAACGTTGGCAATCGTCACTTTGGACCAGTTTTTTAAAGGCAACCCTATTCCGTCGTAAATAATAAACTACGATCTAGTGCAAAAATTATTGAACTACGCGATGGGTGCATTTAATGAACAAAAATTCATTCATTACTCATCCTCTTTATGGCTGCCAGAGGGTTGTAATCACTTTAAAGGTGGCACCCAACCATTTTCGTAATCTACAGATCCTCTCCAACGGTAGCCCTTTTATAAACATACGCGAGTCATTTTTTAAAAATTTTTTAATCAAAAATATTGTAATAATATTCCTGATCACATTTTTTTTAGACATCCTTGCGGTTTAGTGTTGCTCTCAACACAAACCTCGATATATTTTACATTTCATCTGCATACACAATAGATGCACAACTCGCGATGGGATCTCTAATAATATAAAGGATGTATTCCGATATATATGCCTGTACTGAAAAATTGTTCCGCTATTACTACGCAGCGCGCTGCGATAGTGTCTAGTACTCTCAATGACATCATAAATGATAGCTATATTGTCATTGAGACTACTGCGGTTTTCGAGATGAAGTAGTTACAGTACAATATGGCGTACAATATAGCAATATCGCTTAACGAAGCACAACGCGTCGAAATATTCGATCCAGGAAATAAAAAAATATATACATTACATTTAACTGCAGAAGATGCACATATATCATTTTACCGAAAATGACTCTTAAATTCCACATCTGAATATTTATTAACTGTGTCCATATAGTTTTTAACTCGAGATCAAATTGCTTGAATTGGTCTCATAATTAGCTTATCTTCTTCGGAAGAACTATCGCTGCTGTTTTCGTTCAAAATTTATCGACAGATTAGTACGTTTATCCATGTCTGTTTACACTGCCAGTCTACTGCAAAGTCGTTCTGAAATACGATGTTACAGTAATGCTGACAGTACCACAGTAATTTTGGAATGGCTGCGGCAGTGCACTGTTGTGATGTCATGATGATTGCACTGCCAGTAAAAAAGGAACACACCCAAAAATTAAGAATGTACGATCGATCATTTGCGGGATAGGTAAGGAGGATATGCTATTATTCTTCATTGGTGACACCAACCCAATATATGAAAATCTTTTAATAATAAGAAAGACTAATTTATGATTTATTAAAATTAAAAGACATTGATTGCTAATTTTTAATTATGAATCACAATGTTAATATTCTATTATTAGAAAATGCAAGTAATTTAATGTTTTATGTTCAATGGTTATCGATAAGTTGGCAACATTGCATTCTGAAAATGAGGTTGGCATTTTTACTCGAAACTTCTTACGGACTAGTAATTGACAGTTAATTCAGGTTAAAATATTATTTTCATATACGTATTTTACAGTTATTTTATACGAAGTTACTTCGTTATAAAAGCAAATTTATAACTAATTCATAACTAATTCATAACAAATTCATAACTAATTCTCATAACTAATTATGGGAGTACAAATTAGTTCGGTCCGTTTTTTTTGTATTCAAAAATGCATTTATTTCAAAACAAAAT